CCAAAATGATTAAAATGTAACTAAATATTCAAGAAAATTTTATTTATTAGAATAGAATAAAACTATTTACAAAATTGTTATAACATTTAAAACACCATCTACTACTTTAGGGATAATCTTAATTTGGCACAATGAGTTAACATTATTTTCACAAAAAATATTTTAAAAATACTTAAAAATAATACATAGGTATGTATGAATAGTTCACTTTAAAAAATATATGTTGACATGTAGTGTTATGAAAATGTTGGTTCCAGTTTTCAAAACAAATTCTGACTCATAAGACTGTAAACGTTTGAATGCCTTTATTTGCCCTCTAGCGCATTAACCATGGGTTAACACTAAATAAGCCATAATATTCACATTACTCATAGAAGAGATACCAGTTACTGTGTGATCCACTTGTCATTCTCTGATTAACTTTTACTTTTTATACCTATAACAAATATATCCTTAAAAATGTAAACAGATCTTTATATTTTATACTAACCTGGCTACATCTGGATATTCCATTAACAATTTTCTTAAATATTTATTATCCATTTTAAAAAGATCATAGTTATTCTCAAAAAGTCGATTTCAAAAGCAAGAAAAAAGTATTTCTGACATCAATCAACAAACATATTGACTTTAATTTGACAGTGAAATTTCGTTTTAGACACACATTTCTCAACCGCTCATTGGCCGTTCACCGACTAAGGCCGATTAAGATAATTATTTCATAAATTTTGAACACGACTATATTTCGAAACTCGCTCTTAGTAACAAATCTAGTTACTTTTCCCTGTGTAAATGCGTCTTTTCAATTCGCTCCTCCTAGTTTAAAAACAGAGTATAGTACACTTAATTCAGTAGGCCTAGAGTTGTTTCTTCATTACATGCTATGGCGCGAATGATTATTGAGCTTGTAAATCTACATCACGTAGAGTATGGAGGGGATAACAATCGTTAAAATTTACTTGTGGTTATCAAACATTTAATTATGGTTAGAAAACTGCTATTAAAGAGTTTAATAGGCACTATCAAATCAGTCTACTAATATGTTATTGGTTATTAAACAATTGACTAATTACGGCAGTTTCAAATTATTACATTTCCAGCAACATTCGTTTAATTACTGGTATTAACCGAAAATGAAGTAATTTGTTAGTGATAATCAAAATGTTTTCTATTAAACATGTTTATAATAGACCTCGTTTTCTTGTGTAGGTTGACCTGCATGGCATATTTCATTTTAGGTCCATATGATGTCCCTTCATTTTATGCATGCTCCTAAAAATTAACGGACCCTTAGATTTTGTCATATTTCTTTCTGATATCACTAAATTTTGTTTGCAACACAGCATATTGGTGCGTAGGAACTTTAATTTCAATATTATGTTTCCTAAACAGAGATACTGTACATTTAAGTAAATGGAGTGGATCCCAGATGCTTCATTCCTCACATATTGGTATCACAATCATTATTTAAACAAACGTTAATATTGTTTGCGAGTTTGGTTCCAGAAACTGCTTCATGCGAAAAATAATATGCAAAAATACCTTTCCCCCAAATTAATTAAACAACTAAATTAGACTCAAGGAAATACGCGGGGAACACAAATTAAATTAATTTTAGTTAAATGCATACGTTCATAACCACATTCATTACATTGTCAGCAATGGTGGCTCGTGGTAATTTAAAATGGGTGTTCACTTTTTCCAATAATTTTATCATTTGTAAGTTCGGATCAAAACTTTGTACAATAGTCAATATCGCTGTTTTTTTTTTATTATTTGAGATTGTATTAAGTGTAGTTATTATTATTAATATCATACTGTTTTCAAGCACTACAACTATTAATAAATAAATATTTTAGTTAGTGAATTTTTTTTTTGTTTTTAATACGTTGATAACCATCTATAAACATTATTAGTTAGTAAACTGACTTTTCTTCATAATTTGAGATTATTTTTAAATATATATCAGGTTATGTAGAAAGCTTGACATTGATTTTTGTGTAAAAAATTTAATATGAAACTTTACCTACCATTTTTTAGTTTTTATTATAAGTTTAATCATTTTCACAATTTGTCAAAGATGTCAAATAAAAAATATAGTTTTTAAATACCTTTTATTGGCAAATAAAATAAGAACTAAAATGTTTTAAATGTTTATTTTATAAGATCAGTCCCATCACAATACATATCATTACACAGACACAAACTAGAATAAAGATATATAATGCCTGGCATTCTAAATGATACTCTTCGCAGTTTAACAGAGCCCCTTAACCCCCATTTTCAAACAGATTGTTTTCACAATCAATAGGCCTCAACTCTTTATAGAGCTTGATTTTTACTAAAAATTTCATGTTGATATGGCTTTTCGTTTTTAATTTAGGATATTTTTTTAATTTCAACCCATCTTAACTCCTTATTTTTAATCAGATTTGTTAAAAATCAATAGGCTTTGTCCCCTTATAGAGCTTGATTTTTGCTTAAAATTTTTAAATTGATATCATTTCTCGTTTTTGACTTATCGTGCAGACAAAAAACGTGACATCGGACAGACACACAAAGTAAACCTATAATACTCTTCACAAAATACTGTATGAAGAGTAAAAAAAAATGTATGAGGTAAAATAAACAATTTAAAAAGGTCAACAATAATATTTAACTTCTTTTATCAAAGGATTCTAAAAGTTTGAAATAGCAGCACATAATTGAACACAGAACACAGAAATCTGTGAACTAAACTAGTGATACACCTATCGTAAAATGTTAGCATACTTAATTCTGCATATTACCCTTTGTAAATGTATTTCACATCACATTCCAAAGTATTCTTGCACTCACTAATCTCTTACCCTCATGGCTGCTTTTGCATGTCCAAGTTTACTAAAAAATAAAGTGTTTTAATAAATAGAATAACAGTAATTTTGTTTAAATAGGTAAATCGACATCATCTGTATTTTCAAATTATTGTTTAATTGTAGATAGTATATTAATGTTTTGATATGTACTTAGAGGATTGATTAGCCAGAGCATGTAGATATGTGAGATGTGACTTGTTAAGTGCCTAATCAAAATAATAATTTATGTTTGATACTTATTTCGAGACTTTTTTTGAGACATTCTTTATTACAAACTGTAAACTAATTTACCAACAGCCTTATTTTTATTTAATACCTGTAGTGATTCAAATTACTATACCATCTAATAGTTTTGAAGATACTAAATTATACAAACAAGGCAATAAAAAAGTGTCATTAAAATAAAAAATTTCTGGTTTGTGTGCAACAAATGATATTGGTTAGAGGGTAATAAAATTGATATTGGCATGCAAACATCACTTTATATAAGTTAACTATTTAAATGTACATACCATTTCTTAGGTAACATTTCTCATCGAGTATATTAAATTAACTGGTTAATCCATTTTTCCGATTCAGACTTTTAAAGTGAAAAACCATTTGTCTCTTTATCTTTATCAAACTTTTATAGTACATTTCCATTTTTATAATGATGTCTCAAGTAGATCAGAATAATTAAATTTTTCCTTTTAGCAAGTTTTGTGGGAAAAAATACAAATTTTTTGCTTACTTCTTACTTCTTACTTCATAGTATTTACAATTGGGTACAAAATAGACCATTTTGAATTAGTCTTTGGATGGTCTTAGGCACTGAAACAAAATATAAAACAAATTACAGTCGTAAATCGTTATTATATGTAAACAACATAACCTTCAAAAGTTTTTATTTACCTTGCCTTTTTCGGTAACAATCGTTAAATTGACATACATTCTTCCAATTTATTAAAGTTGCAGTTTTCAATTAAACACATTTTTTTAAATGATCACAAATAATAAAATAATCTTAATTTTATTAAAACCGTTTCATATGACGGAAAACCAAATGACAGTTTGTTTTATTTGGTACAGGGTTGCCAGAATATGTTTTTGTTATGTACCAGATTTGTCTAAAAAATGTACCAGATTCCTTAAATGTATCAGATTTTTTGAATTCTATTTGCAGTGACATCTAATTTATTGAAGGGGAAAAAAGGGATCTTTATTGATAACGAACCCAAACAAGGAACACAAAATATATATTTTACACGTGAACACGCAGAATGTACTACATCTAGTACAATTGTGAATTGCACTAGACTGGCAAAACTTATTTGGCAACCTTGTTTGTGAGCGGCGCGAAAATTAATGTGTTCTTTGACAGTTTCAAGAATCTCTAGTCGTGTTTTCTTCTCTTTTTATCTATCTGCATTCACCATATCATCTCACTCGTGTTAGGCTTACTCATCATAATGCGGCCACAGACACAGTATACTGTGCCATAGAGATGCGATCAGCCAGAGGACAATGATGTACCAAAAAATATAGATTAACACGTATGAAAATAAAAATAATAAAATAAAATTTATATTTTTATGTAATTTTAAAATAATGTGTTTTTATGAAATTTAACTGGGTGTTCACTGCACAAATGAACCAATGGAGAAACCGCCCCTGATTGTCAGTTGTCATAATTCTAATCTTTACGTTACACGTCGACGTCAAAAAATCAGCAACATCAGCGACCTCTTACACTGGTTGTAGTTTTATTAAAGAGAGATAAATATATGTATAGATCAATGTAAAAGAGAAAGAAAGTCATATATGTAATTCAAATGGACTACCGAACAAATTTTCCTATTAAGTTACACGTCTCTGTTGTCTCTGGTAAAAGATACTACTGTACGCATAGATACAAATCAATAAATACTTTTAATATTTACTTACAATATTTACAATTTTACTTATGTATTTCTCTATTTATATTTTCTATGTGTAAATAATGGTTTAATATTATTATATTAGGTTGTTTTCAAATAACTGCTTTAGAATATTATAACAATTAAAGATAATCTTTGACTTTTTATGATTTTACGATTTAATTTTTTTTTTTTCGTTAACTCTAGCTTAACATTTACGGTAGGACACGAGTATTATTTTGGAAATAATTATTTTATGATAGGTATACTATATAGATATAATTATATGTAATCTAAACCTCATCAAGAGTTATGTATTAGGTTGGTACATATTATATAGACGATGATTTCGTAGTACTAAATAAAATCAGTAGCAAATAATTTATAATTAAATAGAAACAGAAGTGTGACAGTTTAAAAAGAAGAGATAAATGACTAAGTGAACTATGATTTCCAAGAAACCTGTCCAATTTACAGAGAACCAAGACAAAGGATCAAAATGGTTCGAAATACTTATAACACTTACAGGTACGTCAATTTTTAAAATCAAAATATAATTTAATTTAAAAAAAATGATCATTTCGAAATTACTTTGACAAAGGGGCCTGCACTTTTTTAAGCAAACTGGCGAACTGTCAAATTCTCAAATTGGTAGGTTTGTTCAAAACACCATTATAAATGAAACCTAAAAAGTCCTCATCAATCCGGCACCTGGAAAAAAATTTACTCGGGGTCAAAGATCACAAAAACGGGTTTTTCGCGATTTTCAGCAAAACGGTAATTTTTATCACAAAATTGGTTTAAAAAATAATTGTAGAGCAGATAATTATCTATAAAAAATTTTTAAGATTTTTTTCCTAAGAGCCACCGTTTCTGAGATATAACGATGCAAAAAGTTTGAAAAGTTGTAATCGTCGTTATATGTATAAGTATACCAGATATATACATCACTGAAGCTGTAATACAAGTAAAAATATTATTCTATCGGTCAGTGTAACTTATAAATATATAAAATATTATAAGTATGAGAATTTCAGATGAAAAGAAACCCAGTCCCTCATTTTATACGCCAGTGTAACCTTGAGAAACATCTGTCTCCTATTCAATACATCTATTGTAGGTCCTCCACGTACTAGAATACGTGTAAGTGAATTAGCTTTTTGTTTTAAAAAACAATGCTTATTTTTCAGTCAAGAATTGAATGAAGAGCATGAGAAAAAAATAGCGATGATCGTCAGTTCACTTTGAACGAATTAAGAAATGTTTGCAAAACTACAACTATAGATAACCGGACGGTCAAGGTAGGAATGAAGCTAAGGTATGGTGATAAAATTATTATCACTGAAAAATCAAGAACATCAACATTCATATGCATTGACAAGCATCATCTTTTACGGGATATTACCAAGTTTAAGTGTGGCTTGGTTATCAGCTAGACTCAAAAGACTGGGGTTAAAAGTTGGTCGACAATTCATTAGAACCAGTTCAAACTTTACTACCACCTGCGCCGGAAAAACTGCTCAACACAATTTTTTGCAACTTCATAAAGGGATGTAGTGCTAAATGTGGTTATTAAAAAAGTTGGACTGTTTTATTCTCTAACATGCACTAATTGTCAAGGCCGGTCATGCTCCAATGTTGAATCATCAACACTTGAGGATTCGTTTGATACCAAGAGTAGATATGCGATGTATCACTATTTAGCCAATTTACATGCATCCAGGATGAAGAAGAAGAAGAAGAAGAAGAAGAAGAAGAAGAAGATCAAGGAAAATAAGAAGAACGAGGAGAAGAAGAACAAGTAGAATAGGAAGCAAAAATATTTAAGAATTATGATTCCGACGAATAAATTTCCCTATTTTCTTTATTTACACCGCTTTTATAATTTTCAACCTTTGCCAATATCTTTTATTATTCAATAGTTTCAAATTAAAAATAGTCACAACAGATCCGTGGAATAGGTCTACCGGGGAAACAACGTTAAAAAAAAACGCGCTAAGTGGCGTGGAAACGTGTGCATATCACGACGATTACAACTCTTCTAACTTTTTGAATCATCATAAATGGTGGCTCTTAGTAAAAAAAATTTTAAACATTTTTTATAGATAATTATCTGCTCTGCAATTATTGTCTGAACTAATTTTGTGATAAAACTTATAGCCCAATCGGATTAGGTGAAGAACAGGCTTGAGATTCTGAAAAATTCGAAGCAGCAATTTTCCTTCAGAATTCGTTGGAGGGGGTCTGTGGTAGTCTAAATTCAAAAAGTTGGGATTCCAAAGTTGTCGTTACCTCCGCCAGCTTGATTTAAAGGGTTATTTTTTGTATCTTGAATAACTCATTAATTTTCAATTTTACACGGAAAATAGTTTTTACAGAAGTTATTTAAAATTAAATTTCCTACAATTCTGCTTTTTTTTGTACGATCGATTTTTTTCGATTTATACCCGAAAAGAGGGGGTGAATTTTTGGTTATAGAATAACTCGTTTATTTTCAATTTTACGAGAAAAATTGTTATAAACAAAGTTGTTTAAAATTAAATTTCCTACAATTCTGTTTTTTTTTTGTACGCTCGATTTTTTTGTATTTATCCCTGAGAAGAGTGGGGGTAAACTCTTAGAAAAAATCGGAATCATAATTGTACCAAATAACATTTTTGAAAATCAGCAAAAAAAAAACAAATAGAAAAAATAATGGTACAACATCAATAATAAACGTGACAATACAATACTTAGGTTCACCCCCACTCTTCTCAGGGATAAATACAAAAAAATCGATCGTACAAAAAAAAACAGAATTGTAGGAAATTTAATTTTAAACAACTTTGTTTATAACAATTTTTCTCGTAAAATTGAAAATAAACGAGTTATTCTATAACCAAAAATTCACCCCCTCTTTTCGGGTATAAATCGAAAAAAATCGATCGTACAAAAAAAAAAGCAGAATTGTAGGAAATTTAATTTTAAACAACTTTGTTTATAACAATTTTTCTCGTAAAATTGAAAATAAACGAGTTATTCTATAACCAAAAATTCACCCCCTCTTTTCGGGTATAAATCGAAAAAAATCGATCGTACAAAAAAAAGCAGAATTGTAGGAAATTTAATTTAAACAACTTTGTTTATAACAATTTTTCTCGTAAAATTGAAAATAAACGAGTTATTCTATAACCAAAATTTCACCCCCTCTTTTCGGGTATAAATCGAAAAAAATCGATCGTACAAAAAAAGCAGAATTGTAGGAAATTTAATTTTAAACAACTTTGTTTATAACAATTTTTCTCGTAAAATTGAAAATAAACGAGTTATTCTATAACCAAAAATTCACCCCCTCTTTTCGGGTATAAATCGAAAAAAATCGATCGTACAAAAAAAAAAGCAGAATTGTAGGAAATTTAATTTTAAACAACTTTTGTAAAAACTATTTTCCGTGTAAAATTGAAAATAAATGAGTTATTCAAGATACAAAAAATAACCCTTTAAATCAAGATGGCGGAGGTAATGACAACTTTGGAATCCCAACTTTTTGAATTTAGACTACCAGAGACCCCCTCCAACGAATTCCGAAGGAAAATTGCTGCTTCGAATTTTTCAGAATCCAAAATACTAATCCGATTGGGCTATTACCATTTTGTTAAAAATCGCGAAAAACCCGTTTTTGTGACTTTTGACCTCGATTAAATTTTTTTCCAGGTGCCGGATTGATTATGACTTTTTAGGTTTTATTTATAATGGTGTTATGAACAATCCTACCAATTTTTAGCTGGGTGGGAATTTTTGTACCCTCGAATGTCTAAATTGACCGGACTAAATAATCTCGAAATAAATTCGATTAGCAGAAGCAGTTGCTTATTCAATGTACGATGTAAACGTTAATTTTGGATAAAAAAACTCCAAGATCTTTATTCAGTTCTGGTCGATTTAATGTAAAATTTTGTGGATTATAATTATATAGTATTAATGTTTCCTTTCTAGTAAATGTCATTACATTACATTTTTTAACATTTAACGGTAACTTATTTCTTTTACACCATTCGTTTAAGCGGTTAAGATTATCTTGGAACAATAGACAATCATTATAACTAGAGATTTCATAAAAAAAATTTAGGTCATCGACAAACAATAGATTTGTTACGCTTAAATTACTAACAATATCATTAATAAAAAGCAGAAATAATAAAGGCCCTAAAACCGAGCCTTGCGGGACGCCGGATGTTTGTTTAAAATTCATTGATTTATGTCCTAAGCACTGAACATAAAGGTAACGATCTGATAGATATGACTGTAAAACATTTAATAAGGAGCCATGAAATCCAAGTGCTGAAAGTTTACTTATTAGAAGTTTGTGATCAGTTCTATCGAATGCTTTAAAGAAGTCAGTATAGTATAGTCAGTATACATCAACCTAACTTCTTCTATCCAAGACTTCAGAAATACAATGAGTTATACAGATTAGATTAGTTACAGTAGTGGTCTATTTGTAGTAGTTTTTCTAGCCAACATTTAGTATATTTTATTTATTTTATTTTTATTACAAACTTTTCATTCAACCCTTTCCCTTGTATGTAAATTTTTGCAGTAGATAATATTTGTTACATTACATTCCTTATATAAATTATTTTTTGCTTGAAATGATCTCAGAAATATATTTGAGTTTGTACAGTACGTCATGCAATACCATATATTTCTAACACAATATTACATTGGTTAGTTGTTTCATACTTCTGCAACTCAAATTTGTGGTACCCTTACCACAGCTCTACTAATTTTATCGTTACCTCTAAGTATAGTACAAGCAAGAGATAAAGTGTGACTTTAAAGCTTTAAAGCCAGCCGGCAACATACAAAAAAAAACTAAGTAGACTGATACATCACCTTTAAATTAGTAGAGGGCATTCAAGAGATTGCGTATACCTATTTTATTTTTACTTCTCTCGATAAAAGGGAAGTATTGTAATCGTGAAAATTTGGATATTAACGTTTTCGGGTCCCTAGATTACGAAAAACATGTTTTCCCCGTTCCGTCGGTCTGTCCGCCGTCTGTTGTCTGCCGTCTGTCTGCTGGCGCGGTAGCTCAAAAACGGCTTGAGAGAAAAACTTCACATTTTGTATGCTGGTAAGGCTTCCTCTTAGCTCAAAACCGGTTATACTTTCGGTTAGATATATACAGGGTGAGCAATTAAAAAACACATTTATTTTTAAAAATCAGCAGATTTCGACTAAAGTTGGTTTCTGATAAAATTGTTATCTGATCAAAGATAACAAATTATGAATTACTTTTTAAAAATTGAAAATGGCTTCCCTGTTTTTACAATTTATACAGGGTGTTTTTTAATGGTATGCTAATATTATAGGATGTGATTCCTCAGGTCATTTTATAAAACAAAAATCATGTGAACCTATGTCCGCAACGGCTTTAATTTTGTGTTACAGGGATGATATAAAACCACATATTTTAGTTAGTAAATTTATTTTATTTCTCTACCAGTGGTGTCTCTGCAAACATGTCATCTGATATTTTCTACAAA